GACTACATCAGCATTACCTCAACTTCAAGATACTCAGTCATATCCATGGAAGCTACAATAATCAAGAATACAAGAACACACCCTCATTACTTCAATAGAATTATCTCTCTCTCTACACAACAGTGCAATATTATTATAATCATTTACAAATAATAAACATTGTTTTACTAAATACACGATATTTTTCAGCCTTATCACTTATTATTTCCTTTGAAGCTATCCTGCCGAGAGACTAATCCACTGAACTATTGAATTGGCAGTTCGAGCCATAAACTAACCCTTAAAAATCGAACAAATATCTTAAAATATATGAATTAAAACTGTATTCTATGAATATTATAATTATAACTTTTCTTGATCAAAAAAGTACAATTTGATATAAAATTTTTATTATAAAAAAAACAAATATTGATAATATTTACTAATTCATGAACAAATGAAAATATATTTTATATGCATAATACAAAAAAATTTAACATATTAAAAATAAACATATAAAAATAAAATAATTATTTAATCATAATATCAATTTAACGTAAAAACATTATTGTTTTCTGATTTTATTTTATGAAATATATAGACTTATTAAATAGTATATATACATTTAAAAACATTCTTGAATAATAATAAACATATTGTAATGTTTAACAATGTATTCAAGAATATAAAAATACGCCAGTATAATAAATTTCGTTTTAATTAATAAAAAGATAATATAATAATAAAAACGAACTATATATTTAGCTTTTGAATATTAATTGCATAATAATATAGTAATCATATTTACAAAAATATATATGATTTCTCGTGAATTTTTTTGTTACTTATATTTAACAAAACTATTTAATACGATTTTGATATAGAAGTATTAATTTATGAATAAATTTTCTAAATTTTGTGTATCTATAATTAGGTATTCGATAAATTAAGTTTAAATTACATAAAGCATCTAGAGAAAATGATATTAATAAGATATTAAAAGTTTATTTAAATTATTTGTAGTTTTATAAGTTTGTCTTTAAATCTATATATATATATATATATATATATAATTATATGAATTAACTACATATTTACATATAATTAACTGATTAATATTTCATTAATATCATTTTCGTTCAAGCACATAACTTAAAACAATCTAAAAATTTTCATTAAAAGTCAAAGAGCCATTTATAATTTCAAAGAAAAATTCATAATATAAATTTATATACATAGTGTATTTGAATTGAAGCATGACGCCTTCCACTTATCCACACTTGTTTCCGAATCAGATAATCAGTGAGATACATTCAAAAAAATATTATTTCCTGATTAAAGTAAGATTTATATATTTAAACAAAATCCCAAAATTGTAAAGAACACTTAAATTTTTAAACATTTTTATTCCAGTTCCTTATAAAATGTATACATAATACTTGATAAATTTTGTTAAAACACAAACTAAAATTTGTACCTTCTTTATTAGTACATGATTAAATTAGATGTTTATAAAATAAACGACTTATTTCTAATGAAATAATATTAATAATAATATTTGTAATTTACTTTAATAAATTTTAAGCATAGAGTATCCGAACAAATAATAATAGTAAAAAAGATTTGTTTATAGTCTTATTATAAATTTTTCCACTCGAAAACAATTTAAAAATAAATAACAATAAAATTAAAGAATTTTATAACAAAATTTTATAAAAAAATACTCTTTAATGAATTATCAAGAAACGGATTTTAATTATATAAACATTAAATGATTGGTTAAATATTTTAAATGAAATAATATTCTGTGAATTTATTTTTCAATATTTGTAGTTTTATTATGAATATTACATACAAACGTTGTAAAACAGTAAGATTTGAATAAAATATGATATGTATATATTTAAATGAATTATAAATATCATGTTAGTAGAAGAATGGTACATCTAATAAATATATTTATTTATTTATAATAATTTAATTTGTTTATTCGATATCGATTTATAATATATCATAGATTTTTATATTTACTAACCCTTATATTTTCGATACAAATTTTCCAACTCCTGCAAATATAAAATAATTTATATAAAGTAATTTTCATTTAAAATTTTCATTATCTATAATTCAATTAGATATTGTTGTATTTTATATATTTAAATTATTAGTGTTTAATAAAAATTATTCAGTATTTTAAATATAATAAATAGAATAGAAATATTTTTTAAAAAATTTATTCTCATAAGAAATTATTTATTAACCTAATGTGCCTAATTAAAAAAGAAAAAATTAAAAAATTAAAAGAATAATATATTACTTTGTAAGTTTCAATAAAATAAAAAAAGCTTCGTAGGTATAGACAATTTGTATTTAGTATATTTATATTTGACGGTATTTAAAAAAGAAATAAGAATAGAAGTACTACATATATATATATAATAATGTTCTATATAGAAGAAAGTTGTTAATTATTGGAATATTGTTTATTATTTAAATCTTAGGTTAAATATTTAATTCAGTTAGCTAATAAAATAAATCAAGTATATGTTTAGAATAAACAATTTTTTTTTAATTCTTAGAAACGTTAAGTATATAATAGTATTGAATCTATATCATGAACAATATGCTGATACTAATATTATATATCTCTGCTATTTTAATAAATTAAGAGGCTAATAAATGTTTGATTAGAAATTTAATTTTATTCTTTATTTTATTTCAAATTGTACTTAAAACTTCAAATAATATTATAGTAGTTTTCTTATGAATAATGTTTTTTAGTTATGCTTTAATTAAATAACTCGTTATAAATAATAAATATGATGATTAATAAATTAAAAGTATTATTAAAGTTTTTGGTAGGATTCAGATTATTTATAAATATATTTTATCTATTTCCACTTTTAAGTGGCTAAGCAACCTAATTCTCTTAATTGTATCTTTAATGTAAATATGTTACTTTTTATAATATATAAAAAAATAATTATATTTTGTACTTTTAACAAAATTAATTAAATTTAAGCTAATGACATTAATTATACCAAAAGTTATTTTATAGATTTTTAATAAAGGTAAATTTGTTACATTACTCATGTTTTCATAATTTAGTTGTATATATATATATATATATATATAATTTAATTTATTTATATTATTATAATATTTTTTTAAATATATACATTTTTTTTAATCTCCTACTAATTATATACTAAAATATTACAACAAATATGTAATAAAATTGTTATTCTTCCTAAATTTAAAAAATATATTCTTTATGGAATAAACTTAATGAAACTCGTGTATAAAAATAAGTATTATAAAATAAAATTTTATTGAAAAGTTACGTTTGCTTAGATTATTTTTACTATAGCATTATATATAATTTGTTAAATTTTAGAATTTGGTTAAAATTTAGTAGATTAGTAAACTTTTATAATATAGTATGATGTATTATGATTTTATATTGTTCATTTACTTTATTTGTATAATATATTTGGATGTATTATAACTTGCATATTGTAACATATTGTACGTGTGATAATATTCTTATATTTTATTGATGAAAGAGTTTTGAAATCATAAAGCCTTACTTTCAGTTACACATATTAAATTAATTATAATTTCTTTACTCTTTATAGAAATAGTTTAAACAGTAATAAAAATATATTGCTTATATGTTAATTACTTTCATTTATAATAAATAATTTAATGTAATTCTGTAATATATCCTGAAAGTTTATAACCATTATTCTTATGTATCTAGCAACATTTTATTTATTTTCATAGAATATTGATTATCTTCTAAGAATATATAGTTTTTTCAATATTAAGAAATCAATGTGATAATATAGAAGTATTTGTTTAAGATACAAAAAGTTTCCTTATATTCTATGAAAACTTATATTATTTTATTTAGTCATTTATATTTATTAGTTAATAAGAATTTATTATATACAAAAAATATAATTTAATATCATTATATAATTATCTTATTATAAATTACCTCTCAACTAATTGTTTGAACGATCTGTACAAAAAATTTCATCTAACATGTTATTTATATAAATATGAAAAGTTTCTGCGATTGGTGGTATTATTTAATATTCGATGTTGTTATTCATCAATTTAATTGAAATTCTACTTGTAAGATGTTTAACCTTACAACATATGGTATGAAACATTAATCTATTCTCTTAAGAATCATTAAACTATATAAGAAAAAATTAATTTCATCTTTATAGATGTCTAGTTTAGTCAATAGTTATCATGTTAACTTATGCGATTATTTTTTTTAAATATTTCTATAAGACAGTTTATTTAAAACGTGATATAAATGTGATTTTATATTCATTATAATGAATACAAACAATATTTTTAATAAATATTAGTATATAGTATTTTATATAAAACGATGAAAAATTTTTAACACGATAATTGTAATACCTACAAAATATAGTATTTAATATAATATTAAATTAAATTACATACTTTATGTAAAATAAATATTTTACAAATAAAATGCGTAAAACTAGTATGAGCTTCTTTAGCGCCTTCTTTAGCGATCTGATAATAATCAAGTTACAACGGCCTGGCCGATAGTTTTGGCGCCGAGCCGCAAAGTATAATGTGATATCGACAAATTGCTGGAGATGCCAGTCTCTATCGTTGCCCTCAATGCAATCTGACTATTATCACGTTGCGGAGAACGCATCGATAGCTGGTCAGCAATAGATAATAAATAATGTAAACAAATGAGTATACCTTGCACGGATTCCCTTAGAGGTGTATAATTTTCACTGGTATGACGGGCACTAATTTCACTTGATTTGCTCAACAAGACTAATTTTCTTCGTCGTCTGGTGCTCCTTATATATTATTAAGTACATTTAGCGTTGTAATTCATGGAAACTCTAGTGAATTCTTGAAAAGCTAGCTTCGTAACGAATTTTCGTAACGAATACTTCAAATATTACGCCATAATATAGATATAATGTATCGGAATCATATTATAATAAACAATAAATTTTTTTATTGTTGGGTAATTCGATCCTGAACATTCCGCCTGCCATCAGCACTGTAGTTGATGATTCCCGTCATTCTCTTGGATAGGTAGGACTGCCAGTTTGTGAATTGCTCTGACTCTGACGAGTGGCCACCTGCAGGGACGTAATCGTTCGTTTGTAATGAGCACCAATGAGCCAACATGAAATTCATTCCATGGGTAGTGCTGTCTTGAACTTAACAGTTGTTGTTGCAAGTCGTGTTTTACTGTAACCAGAGTTGTTGTACACTTGCTTATACGCTTCCAGCGGGTTGATCCTGAAATTGACAAATCCTTTGGAGATGGTTCTGAGATAGTAGTAAGTGGGCTTCCAATACGAATGTCCGGTAAGTGTTGAATGGTCTTTGGAGTCATCGCGCATTGATTTTAATGGCCTTGTGTTGAGGATCGCATCAATTTGGGCAAGGAGTGTGGTAATTTTTTCAAATATCGTTTCTCCAATGGTGCGTCTTATGTGAAACTTGGCGGAGGTTACCACTGCTTCCCATTCTCCTCCCATGTGAGAGTAGTGGATGGATTTAATTCCCATAGAGAGTAGTCGTTCAAGATGGTCTTAGCTGTCTGTTATTGTTCTTGGGAACCTTGTGTACAATTTGTAGGATGCTTCTGAAAAATGTCGGAATGCCACGATAAATCCATCTCTCGAAATTTTACTTCTCTCTGTCTAGAGTTTTATTACTAAAGTAACTGGCATAGTCAACACCTGTGTTTGATAACGGTTTGACGGTTTACTCGAGACAGCGGTAATTGGCCCGTTAAATGTTGAGCATGGATTCCCTTTCTGTCATGCACATGTAATGCATCGTAGAGTGTGAGACTATATTGAAGGTCGTCCGCCAAGATCCAATATGGCTGTCGTTTGTGCCAAGGTATGTAGGTGACCAAGGTGAGTTGAATATAAGCTATTAAAGGATTTGTTACTTATTGTCACGGCAGAGTTGACGTGTGCCTTCAGTAGTATGACATATGAATTCACAATTCTTCTTACACTTGGATAATTCCTTAGGAAACGGTTCTCAAATAATTGCAAGCGAGTTCCGATGACGTAAAAAATACAACATGCTATCCTTGTACATGTTGTTTTCGTCCCTTATAGCCCCTTTGAGTTATTCTTCCAATACCTTTATCTGCTGTACTCTTGTTGAATACTTCCACAGAGGTGAATTCGTGTTTTTTCCAAGGAGTATTTGCTGAGAAGGCTTGAATCTCAGTTATTGGTAATGTGGCGAGGATCCATTCAAGGTGTTGTTGAAAGGGTGAGTGCATCTTCTTGAAGACTCGATTGTAATTAATTTTATATTGTACAATTAGCAATACAATTTACACTTCTTGCTTTCTGACGGCTTGATGGCGGTGAGGGCAGCACTATGAATTAACTGCCATTTTTCTTACTGGGAAACCGCCCACCATGCAGCGGCTCAGCAGTTTAGTGTCCTGATTGCTATTAATGAAGCATATCTTGTGCCTCGGCTCCATTAGTCAAATAATTGATACTTCCTTGTCGTTGTCAATCCAATGAATTCCTTGTAGGACCTAGTTGTCCTCATGATCTTGTATCTGCAAATGGCGATGTCGGTGGATCACGATTACCGCGTCTGACATTTCCTTCTGTTTTTTGAGATTGGCACCAATGTGTTTGATGTCATTAAGACGATTTAATTATTTCTTCAATTGAAGACTGCGATTATCTATAATTACTTGAATAGGAGTTACTGTTCATTATGTAGTGGTGTATGATGCCGCCCAGAGCATCTGTTACAATTTCCGGGGGTGGTGCACTTGTAAGTGTAGTCGGGAGCTAAGCCAGTTTGACCATAGTCCTTGCTCTTCCTTGAAACGTTTACTCTCTGTGACTGACAATTGCTTAAATCTGGGTTATGCAGCCACAGAATACTGTTGCTGGCAATACGTGCATATGGTAGTCTTTTGGTGTCCTCTTGGGCCTTAGAAAGTCGTCGCAACAGGTGTGTTCGATTTTAAAGGTTTAGTTTATGGCTCGAACTGCCAATTCAATAGTTCAGTGTATTAGTCTCTCGTCAGGATAGCTTAAAAGGAAATAGCAATTTGATGGGCTGAAAAATATTATGTATTATGTAAAAACAATGTTTATTATTTGTCAAATATTATAATAATATTGCACTGTTGTTGAGAGAGAAGATTATTCTATTGCAGTAATGAGGGTGTTTCTTTGTGTTCTTGATTATCGTAGATTATTTGGTTATTACTGTGTATCTTGAAATTGAGGTTATGCTGATGTTATAAATATCAGCCAGTGTGGTCAATCATGCTCATGAGGTAGCATGAGAAATGTTGTTTGAATCAAGTATGCCTGATAGATGGAATGACTATACTTAATAGTGTGTAAGATGTTTATGGAAATTGGTAAGTAATCAATTATGTCTCTAATTATTTATGGGAACAGTAAAAAGGACTAGTCATAGGCAAGAGTCATAAATGATAAGCCTTCGAGCTTTGAAGGACTTGATGAAATGTATTTATAGTCGATTATTCGATATATTGTTGTCTGGCCTTAACAATGTGCTTGACGAATTGTGTCACTTGTATCGACTCTTGTGGGCCTGTACGGAGTCAAAGTGTTAGATGGAGAGAGAACGTAAGTTTGCCCGATCGACTCTTGCAGGCCTGTACGGTTTCGAAGTGTTAGATCGAAAGAGCGTAAGTTTGCCCGTGTGATTAGCTCATTTAATAATATATAATGATGTACCTTGTAAACTGCCGACAAAGTGTGTTGATTTACTGCGTACCTGATGTGTCTCTTTTGATTACTATTCCAATTGGCTTCACTGTAATCACTATCTAATCTGCTGATTTCTTTTCAATTATGCACACGTGTATTTTTAACTAGGCTGCCGAATATATGGCTACGTGTCGTCGTCACAGTATATACTAAAACACTGAGCGGCAGTTATGCGTGAGTGAGCGCGAAATGATATTACAAATGAGCCTTTTGAATACGCGCACGAACGAAGGTTTGACCGTTCCGTGGCGGCTCTCCTCAAAATACCGACTGTTCCATGGCGTTCGTGCTGAGGGCAGATCGAGACCCGTGTGTCATGGCTTTTACTGGTAGATGGTTAGATCGGTTCACTATGGTCGGTTCACTGCGGTCGGGTCACAGCAAGTGCTTGCCTTATATATCCACGCGACGGGGAGGTTTTAAAGCTCTCGCCACTTCTTCGCGTAGTGCCACGTGGGGAAGCTATGACTGCGTCGTGCTTTTAAACACAAGCGGCTTTTAATTGCAGATTATGCTCAACACAGAATTGAATTGAAGCGGACGCAGACTTCTCGCGTCGCACGGACAAGCAACTCTAGGGGCCCGTATTGATTGCTGAAGATACCGTGTGACCTGGAGGAAGAAGAGTCGTAGACGATGCTGCAGTGCTTTGTTACTTGCGAGGTTACTGAATGGACCTTCTTCGGGCTCAGTTGAGGGATCTTCCCCCTTTCTTGGTGCCTTCAACATGATGAGTGAGTGACGAAATGACTGAGTGAATTTAACAGTTGGCAATAACTGTTGAACGATAGCGAAACATGATGGTAATTATGGAAGCTAAGCTCTATCTGTCGGCGCTGTAATGTGCTAGCGTGACATAATAGTAAATATGAGAACTGAGCTCTCGCTCTTGGCGCTTTAATATACTAGCGACACGTAACAGTAATTACAGTATTGTTGTAGCTACCAGACAGTATCGGCACCTCAATAAATGCCTTGTGAAGCTCGTCGACTCGTTTTCGTGCGTTTTAGACTTATTTCATGGAGATATTTCAAATGTGACT